ACAACTAACTAGCGAGCAATATCACAGCACTATATCTTAGATAGTCTCTTTCCAACGAAGAATACAAGCATAAAACTACTATTTTACAAGAAAAATTTGTAACATATTATACACCGTCGCTTATCACAATTCACGAAACAATTACTTGCAGCACCCATGCATCGTAAGATGAATACTCATGAACGTTTCTATGAGATTAGTAAGAGAAAAGCAAGTGGAACGGGATACCGTCTCTAGAGCACTGTACATACTTCTGGAATCTAATTTTGGAAGAAAACATTGTAAAAGAATGAAAGAAGAAGAGTGCTGTCGTCTTTGCGGCTACACAACATTCGAATTGGGCTCTATGCAGATTTAAAGGAAGAAAAGAACCTATGAGAAGTGCTCACCCATCAGATCAATTAATAAAGGGCAAAGGTTTTGTGCACACAAATGATAAGGTAAGTTCGATGTAGAATCCACCAGGCAGATAACCCAAAATATCATAGAATACCGGAATGAGCTAAAATGAAGATAGAACAAAAACGTCATGACTCAATCCTACGCCTTACCTGGTCCATATTTTGCTTGTATTTCAACTGTTCATCCTCCATGCCGAACCAAGGAGATACATCGTACTCCACATTTTCTGCATTCACACTTACACGAACCGAGATACTCCTAAATATAAAATAAGTGGCAAAGAAATTTTAATGTAATCAAGGGAACACTGAGTAAAAACAGCGGTTTAACCGCAGCTGTGATGTTATAATGAGATAAAGTGTCAGCAGCCAACTTACATAATGTTCATATTGATTAACATCATCAAGTACGGTTCCAACATTCCCGTGCATTCGCGCGCTAACATCTCAGCAATACTGGAACACAGCGGTAAGATAATACAACGATAATACGCTTACTTACCTGAATACTTTAGGTTCTTCATCAGGAGTGAGTCGTCCATTTCTAAGATCATACACATGAGAAAGACGTACCCCATAGTCTGATACGCTAGGGACTTGCAAAACAGATGAAATCGCTCTGTCCAGCGATAGACCATATTGATATTTGTCCTGAATTCAATGAATTATACCAGACAAAGAAGAAGATATTCCATCACTTACGGCCAGGTTGAGACCGTCGATAGAGGACGTGGGACCGTGAGTGGAAGTCTGAGGACAAATGTCAATCCAGCTGATGATAAACTGGGCTCCTGATGATCCAGAGGTTGACCAATCCTGCAAAAAGTTGAAAATTCTTACAGAAATCGAAAAGTCAAAAGATGATGTGAAGTACCTGCATTGAGTTCAACGAAGCCAACAAACTTTCCAATTTTTCTGAAGGAACACGAATGGCTACTCCATCTTCCACCACAGATATCTGAAGGCAAAGAAACTGCCGAAATCGTTTTTTCTCAAACATCTGTCATTTCCCAAAGTGGCAAAGCTAACATTCAAATGAGAAGACTACCTGCAATCCGTCAGTCTTCAGACCGCCATCAACAATGATGAAAGAAGCCCCAGTAGCTAAAAGAGGATTGTTTTCTTACAAGCTTTTCTCGCGGAAAATGCACGCACCTTTCCTCGAGGCACCCCGCGCCAAAACCTGCGTCGTATAAAAGCCATCGTTCTCTTCGCAAACCAGGTGACTGTCAGCCGATAGATTCACGTCAGTTGCCCAAGCGATCATCGTGCGATTCAAGGATATTACCTCATCCAACTACAAGTTCAAAATGAGAAAGCTCTATGCCAAATAAAAAAACAATACGAAAAAAGGAGAAATCAAGCCGACAGGAGAGTACGCACGTCTTGTTTCGCACTCTTCGGAATCTTCACTGTGGTAACGTCATTTTCCAACGTGACTGTACAACCTACGAGATGCTTCAAACGGAAAGACCAGTTGCGAAAATCAGTAAAAACCTAAAT